GCTGGGCCCCACGACCACCCTGTCTTCACAGAGGAGAAAACTGAGGCTCAGACAGCTCAGTGATTTCCCCAAGGTCACCAGCTGGTCAGCGGTGGAACTGAAACTTGAATTCAGGTCATCAAGCATAGCACATGATTGAGAGCAAACAATCAGCCCCCTCAGTCCTGCCCCCACTCAGACACCTGCGCTCACCCTCCCACACCCCAGGCCGGGCTCCCACACACCTTGACAAACTCCTCAGTGCCCTTCTGGCGGAAGGTCCACTCGGTGAAGGTCTCAGCGGTGGTCTCGCTGCGACGCTTGCACGAGATGCACAGAATTTTGAAGGTGTCCCCGTACACAGCCTCCGTCTCCGAGTCTACCTCCACGCAGCCCGCCCAGGCTGAGGACACTGTGGGGACAGCAGGGACACCTAGCACCCTGCGCCATACTCGGCTCGCAGGTTGTTGGCCTGCAGGCCCCTCGGAAGCCATGTTTCCCCTCAGTAACGAAGACGAGTGGACAGAGCCGGGCACAGCCTGGCTCGGCCAGGTTCTGTGTGCTCTTGGCAAGTCACCCATCTGCTCAGCCTGTTTTCCTCTGTGCGTGGTGAGGGAAGCAATCATCTCTGCTTTTGGAGTTTGCAGAGAGATTCCATAAGTTAGGTAACTCCCCAAGGTGGGGGGCTGGCACACAGCAGGGGGCCGGCACACCGGAGGCCCCCAATCAATAGGGCTGTTACTGTGCTCAGCAATTCGCAGTATGTGCTACCCAAGTGCCCCTTCTTCAGAAGGCCACTTGTCTGAGGTACTGCAGCATCTAAGTGGTGGGTCTGAAATCCCAGCTGTGTTAGAAGTTCAAGGTGGCAGTCATTTCCACCATTATTGCTCTTTAAAACCAGCTCCAGAGAAGGTTGGGAAAGCCTCAAAGGGAGAGGTAGGCCCTAGAAGTAGGGAACACCCACACTCCATTCCTACTCCCCGTGCCACAAGTTCCTATGTCATCCCCTCCTTCCCCCAGACCCCGCTCCCAACTTCTCCTGCCTCTGTGCTCAGGCTCCCACCTCCTATCGGCTTCTCCAAACTCACCAAGCTCTTTCCTGCCTCAGGGCCTTTGCACTTCCATGGGATTCCAGACCTTTCGGTCCCTCCTCCACATTCTTACCTGCTGCCTCCTTCCTGGGGGGGGGGGGGGGGGGGAGAGGGTCCTCCCCCTCCCCCCAAGGTCACTAATGCTGTGCCTCCAGCTCCAGCTCTGGGTCTTTTTGACTCTTCCTCTATTATTCTTGTCCCCTTACTCCGCCGTCCCTTTCCACCTTCCTGAATAACTCTTTCTCTGACCCCCCTCTTTTTCTCTCCTGGGGGTTTTCCTGAAGAACTTTGTGTTCTCTTTCCGGGCTCAGACACGCTGTCCCGCGCTCTCTCCACCTTTCCCTTGTAAGCTCCATTCCTCCCCGTGTCTACCCTGTCTCCATCTCCATCTCTTTTAACTCGTTCCCTCTGCAGCTCAGATGAACTGTCCTCAATCACTTTCTCTGGCGAACTCTGCCTCTCTCGCTTGTCTGCCCGTTTACCTCCATCTCCCCAGTCTCCCAGTGGAGCGCTCCAGAGCACGCCGGTCCTTCGGCGTCCTTCGCCCCCTCCCTCTCCTGTCACCATCTCTGAGCCTCTCCATCTCTCCGTCTGTCTCCGGGCGCCGCCTCCTCCCCACCCCCAGCCTCCCCTGCGGTGTGGGTGTCACATTGCAGCTTGCGGGGCTCCGGCAGCAGCTGACTCCGCGTTTCCTCGCCCCCAGCCGGGCGCCCGGAGCCGCGAAGCCGGGCCCGCGGGACCCCGCCGCCTCTGGCCCACCCGCAACTCCACCCGGCCCCGCGCCCCGTGCCCCGCGCCCAGCGCACAACTTCTGCGGGACTCGGCCGGGCGGGGGAGGGGCGGGGCGGCCCCGCGCCCCCTCCGCGGTCCGGAGCCCGAGCCGCCGCCGCCGCCGTGCCCGCTGTGCCCTCGCCGCGCCCCCCGCTCACTTACTCAGCGCCGCGCCGACCACGAGAGCCAGCAGCGTCCCCATGGCCGCGCTCGCCCCTCCCGGGCGCCGGTATTAATAGCGGGCGAGAGGCGGCGGGCCCGGCGGCCGACAGAATGTCCCCGGAGCGCGCGGGCGCAGCAGCTGCGGCTCTGGAACCAGCGAGATGGGGGAGGGGGGGCGCGGCCCCCCCCGCTCCGGTTACCGCCGGGGGCCCGGCCCCCGGGCCCGGCGTCCGGGCATCCCCGCCGCGCGGCGGCTGCTGCTGGTCAGGCTGCTGCGCTGGCGCGCACAGCCCGGCGCGTCCGGATGCCCGGACCCAGGCCCCTTGGCTCGGGCGCTGGGGTGCGGGCCGCTCTCCTGCGCACTGCAGCCGCGGCGGCCCGCGAGGGAGGGGGGAGAGGGAGGGGGCGGGATGAATCACCGCGGGGGGGGGGGGGGGGGAGGGCGCGGCTGCCAAGCCTTTGCCGCAGCGGCCCGGAGGCGCCCGCTCCACCAGCCTCTCCTCTCCGGATGGCTCAGGATCACGGCTTCTGGGCAAGGGCGCATGGTCTGGGTGTCTGGCCCCTCCAGAGGCTAGGAACCCCCCCCAGAATCACAAGGGGACTGAGAAGGCAGTTTTTGGGCAGGGCTTAAGAATTGAAATTTCAGAGATCATCCTCATGGGATCAAGAGGGTTTTGCTGGACCACCAAGTGATCCCTGGCAGCAGGCCAGGGCATGCAGACCCCTCCCAAACAGGACACTCTGGATCCAAACCAGAGGACGCCCTGGGGGGGAGGGGGGGTTGGGGTGCTATCTTTCTGGACGATGCCTCCTCCTTTGTCTCTGACATCATCTTCTATTCCTCGCTCCCACTGCTAAGCTGGCTGCCCAGGTCCCTGCTGTTTCCAACACACCAAGCTCATTCCACCTCAGGGCCCTTGCCCTTGCCCTCCCGCCTGCCTGGACCACTCTTCGCCCAAGTATCCAAAAGGCTCACACAGCTCCTCCTACAGCTCTTGGCTTCAATGTCACCTTCGTCAGGTTCTGTCCATTCCAGAGAAACTGCCTCCCCGGCTTTACTTGACCTCCTTTACTTGTTACATTTTCCTCCACAGCAGTTGTCACCAGACATTGTACTAGTCCTCATATAGTTTCTGCTCACCGTTTGTCCCTCCAATCCTGGAATATACACCCCCAGGTTGAGGACACTGTCCTGTGCTCCTGTGTCTCCAGACCTGAACTGTGCCAGGCACATTGTAGGTGCCTGATAAATATTTGTTGTGAATAAATGCCAATGCCAGAGTCCTTGTGATATGCTAAATAAACTTCTAACTCCTAACATGTGCAGCAAGTTCTATTATTAGCCCCATTTCACAAAGAGGAAACTGAGGCTGACCACTCCCTCACCTAGAGTTGTGCCCCTGGCCTCAGGTAGATCTGGAATCCTGCCCAGTGATGGCAAGTGGCCTGTCTTGTCAGTGGGTTCTGCCAAATGGAGAACATAGGCTGTCAGACTCTGGTGGGGGTGAGACTTCTGATGGGGGGAGGGGGGTCACTAGCCCCCAGTTCAGGTCCTGGCCACCAGTTCAGGGGTAGTGGAGGGAAGAGTTCCAGAAACTCCCTGGCCTAGTCCTGCTGAACAAGAGGAACCAGGGCGTGGGGCAGGCCTGTGGCAGAGGGACAGGAAGCCAGGGACATCGGACACTCCTGTGGTCTGGACCTCTGTGCCAGCACTTACTTCCTGGGTTGTGAAATTCCCCTACAGAAAATAACCTTGCTTTCCCTCTGGCAGGGGTGGTAGGCAGAGGCACAATGAGGACATGGGCACCTACTGACAGATGTTCCCTGAGCACCAGCTATGGGCTTGGTGCTGCTCTATGCATCTTTCCTAACATTAATTAATATAATGTTTCCTACAAGGTGGGTATTGCCATTGTGCCCACTTTACAGGTATGGGAAACTGAGGCTCAGAGTAGGTAACTTGCCATGACCACATAGCCAGAGGATAGAAGAGGCTGGCTCTGCTCTTCCCTGCCTGTGGTCCATCCTGCCTCTGTCCCATTCCTCCGGTCCTCTGCCCCACACCATCAATTACAAAAGTTCTTGCAGCCTCACTGGGACACATTGAAGGTCCTGTGTTTCCCTTAGTCTGGGGTGAGAGTCACTGACAGTGCCTCGCTGTCTCCCTCCAGCCCCCTCACTGAGCGCCAGGCTGAGTAAGCCCATTTCCTCATCAGTAAGACGGGTTCAGACAGCCTCATCTGGATGGGCCGTAGTGGGGTCCTGAAGAAGTCAGGGCCTTGCATCTAAATGTGCAGCCACCAGGGGCCTCAGGCAGGTAACTATCTGTCTCCATCTCACAGAGCCAGTGCCAGGCACTGGGATGGGTGGGCAGGAGGTTCCTGGTGCTCACACAGTGTTAAATGAATATCAGACCATGTACAGGTACTCACTTTTTCCCCCTGCAGCTTTTCTGCAATGAGTAACATTAGTGAGTCCCCACCCTATCATGAGTGGCCACATTTATTAACTCCTCACAAAGCAGTTCTCAAAGTGGGATCCCCAGACAAACATCACCTGGGAACTTGCCGACAGCACAGGCTGTTGGCCCACCTGGACCTGCTGAATCACACTTTGCCGAGCGGTCTGGCAATCTGCCCTCCAGGAGATTCTGAGGTAGTTTAAGTTCAAGAACAACTCACTTTGCAGCCTCACTGGGACACATTGAGGCTATTCTTACGCCCAGTGAACAGAAGACAAAACTAAACCTGACTGACCAGCTCCAGGTTACACGCCTGCTTAAGATTCAGAGGTGGGATCTGAACCCAGGCCACCAGACATTAGAGTCTGTCCTAGGAGCCCCCACACTGGACCCTGATGAGGCGGAGCTTGTGTGCGACGCTAGGGAATTCCAGGTCAAGTGGGAACTATCGCCCCAGGTAATGGACAGATCCCCTTCCCTGGCGCCTGGGACGAGTGCAACAGGAGGCTCCCGCCCATTCCCTAGGCACAGCCACAGCCATTTCCAACCCTTTATTGGGACTGTCAGCCCAAATAAATATAATACATTAAACCCAGAGCTGAGGGAATCGGGCACCCCAGGAGGTGCCCCCACAACTCCAGCAGGGAAAATAAGTTAGCAGGGGCCTGCCGAAGGCCGGGCCAGCTCCCTGGCTGGGCAGGCAATGGCAGCTGGACTCGCACACGCTGGTCTAAAGTGCATCTTGGTTCTGTGGTCCCCATGTCTGCGTGGCCCCAAGCTGGGCCACTGGGATGGCGGGGCAGGAGGTTCCTGGTGCTCACACCGTGCCAGCAGTGGTCACCGAGGTTCTGTGTCCATCTGTCCGTCTGGGGGAATGGCTGTGTGGCCTGGCGTCCTCAGGAGAAGCTGTCGTCGGGCTGTGGCTGGGAGTCGAAGGGAGGGTCTGACACAGTGATGCCTTGATGCAGCTTCTCCAGCGAGAACTTCATCTGGGGGGAGAGGTGAATGCTGAGAGGGCTGGTATCACTTCCCACTCTGCAGCTGAGGAACTGAAGGTCCAGAGAGGCCAAATCCCCTTGCCAGGGTCACCGTGTCACACAAGCTGAGCCATCTGTACCCAGTTTAACTTCTTACAGGCAGCAGACGAAAGGGGCCCAGATGGCCTGGGCTCACGCCCAGCCGCTGCTACTTCCTGAACAGCCTTGGGCAAGCCCCTTCCCCGTCCCAGGTGCCTCAGCCAAGGATGGGTCATACATACCTGCTGCACCAGGTTATTTCAGGTTCCTGATGAGTGACCACCTAGGACCTGGCACACATGTCATTCTTATTCCCGGCTATGCAACCTTGGGCAAGTTCAATCGCTCCATGCCTCAGCATCCCTATCTATCACATGGGGGCTAAGAGCGCCTCCCTCAGAGGCTGGCCATGACAAGCAAAGCAGTTGGTCATTCTGACGCTTAGAGCAGCCCAGCTTGATGAGTGTCTGCTGCTGGCATACATTTGAAAAGTCAACTCTGAGCCCATAGCAATGTGAGAGCACAAGAACAAGCACTTAGCTGAGGATGGAGAGGCTCTGCCCTCCCTCTCTGAGCTTCAAACCCTTTTCCCTGTCCTATGGCCTTTCCCAGAGGGAGCGTACCTGTTTAAGCATAATTCCAGGGTGCAATGAGGCCCCTAGATAAGCCTCAGCATTATGGCCCATGGTGACCAGACACGATGTTCACTGTTACCCACCAACTTACACTCAGATACCCTTGGGTGCCCAGCCAATGCCAGCTGATCCCCAACTTCCCACACTCACTCCCCACAATGGGCACTTACCCTAGGTGCCTGGAATTTGTGCTAAGCCACCACTTTATTGAGCACCTACTGTGTGCCTAGCACTGGGGTTGCACTACTAACAGCAAACACAAAATGTTCGCTATGAACTGGGCACTATTTCAATTTGAACTCATTACATCTTCATAACAGTCTTTGAGGCAACGTCAATTACTACCCCATTTACAGAGGAAGCCACGGCCCCAAGTCACACACTGGAATTTAAACATGGCCTTCTGAATAGATGCTGCCCCTGAACTATAGGGGGCAACCCCTTCTAGAGGTGAGGCCCCAGTATGCTTTGGAGAACTTTTCTCCCACCCTTATGTGCCCCCTTAGTCACTTCAAGTGGGGGAGGGACTCAGGGACCAAGCCTGGCTGCCCCTGGCTGCTGTGCTGCTTCTGGGGCGGGCACATGACCAGGGTGGGCACAGCCAGTGAGAATGAGCACTTTCCTTTGTTAGCTTAGAGCTGCAGGCACCGCCTGGTCATGCTGGGGGAGAGGATGCCCCAAACCAAGCCGAACCTGGGGGGCGAGGCAGTCAAAAAAGGTAGCAGAGACCAATTATTACTGCCGTTTAGTGGCGGGGCCCAGGATGAGAGCCAGACATTCTATTTTTCCATTCTGCTGTTTTGGGCAACTCTAGAAGCTGGGGGCTATGAGCGGTCTCCTCGTTTTACGGAGGAGGAAACGAAGGCCCAAAGGCACCTGCCGCTTCGTGGGTGTGAGTGCAGGGTCCCCCAGCCCGGGCGCACCTCGTCCAGGAGCTCCACCGAGGCCCGCAGGATCTGCCGCCACTTGTGCACCTCGACGCTGTGGAACTGCTTCTGCAGAGCCAGCACCTCCGCCCACTCCGCCGCCGTCTGGGGGAACTTGCTGTGGGGGGTACAGGACCTGAGTGGGGTCTTGGCCTCCCCCCACCTGCCACACTCCCAACCCCCTCGGGACACCCACTCACTCCTTGGCCAGGGCCAGACTGTGCCAGGACTCGAAGGTGTGGGCTGTCCTCTCCAGGGACCAGAGGCGGTAGAAGAGGAGGATGTTGAGGGCGATGAGGACGACGAGGCTGGGAGCAGGGGACAGAGGTCAGGAGCTGGGCACAACTTGAAAGGACACCACAGCTCCCCCTTTCAGAGGAGGAAGTTAAGGCTCAGAGACGGGGAGACATATCGAGGGTCACACATTACAAAGCAGCCAAGTCAGGGTTCTCATCCTGTCTGACACCCACACCCTTAACTGTCCACCGAATCACCTCCCTGGGAGAGGCCTAGAGCCAGGGGTGAGAGGGGAGGGGAGGGGCAGACCCTACCTCACACAGATCCTGAGGAGGCAGTGAGGGGAGACAAAGAGATGAGAATTGCCCAGCTCATCCTACCCTCCCCCACCCTCCTCACCCCAGTCCCAGCAGAGCATGCCAAACAGCCTCTCACTAGATTGCGGCTGGGAACCTGAGGCTGGCCCAGACAGGCGAGTGCGTGGCTCATCTGACGCTCACCCCAAGCGTACCTGTCCATGGGATCGCACCTCCATTTCCTCAGTGTCCTGCCCCCCACATCTCCAGACCTTTGCATGCGGGTCTCCCTGCCTAACCCTCTGGGGCCTCAGCTCAGGAGTCTTCTGCCCCAGGAAGCCTTCTCTAACCGCCCTCTGATCCCGCTGGGAGGAAGCCTCCATTGGCCCCCCAGGCTCTCCCATCCCAGCCCTGTCCCTCTGCCTGTGTTTCCGCCATCCCTGTGGTCTGGTGCCAGGACTGTCTCCCCCCAGAGCTGTTGGTAACTACTGTGCCCCCAGCACTACCAGCTCAGGGTTAGGCACAGAAAACATGAATACTATGTGCAAGTATAACTGCTTCTTTTGCATCTCTCCTGGCTCACCTAATTTCACCTCATTTGGTTCCTGCTCCTCCAGAAAGCCCTCCCTGCCCCCCAGGTGAGGTCAGGTCCCTCTAACCTCCCAGAGTCCCGGGCGCCCCTCTCCCAGCAGGAAGACTTCTCTGCGATGAACAGAGCAGCACGCTGTGCACGGAGCTCCGCCAGGCACATCCCAGACAGCACTCCTTCAATCCTTGCTGAGGTTTGCACACACTCCCACTCAAGCTGAGGCCCAGTGAGGCCCTGGTCACACAGACAAGATGCAGATCCAGGCTGTCCGAGCCAAAGCCCAGCCTCCTACTCACACAACACTGATGAGCACCAGGGCACTGGGGATGCCTGTCCCGGGGCCCTGGTCCACGGATGGTTCTGAGAAGCGGGAGCTGAGGGAGCCTGTGGGAGCAACTCCAAGTCAGATTCACTAGCCCACCCCAAGGGCCCACTCCTCAGCCTGCCCTGCCCAGGCCTGAGGGACACACCCGAGGTGTGCATGCCAGCCCGGGTGCAAGGGTCTGGGTCTGGGTGCTGAGGCCCATCACCGTGACCCCTCCAGCTCAGGGGCCGCTTCCGCCTCCGCAGGCCTGACAGCAACCCCCGGGCGTCCTTCCCGCCTTCGTCCAGGGATAGCTTCTCGGTCTTGGCAAGCTCTCGCTCTGCGGACACAAGAGCACTCTGCAGGTCTGAGCCTGACCGGCCCCCACCCCTCCATCCCCGTCCTGTCCGGCTCTGTGCCATACCCAGGTGGTGGAAATAATCCTCAATGCCACTCCACGAGTTCTTCTCAATAAGAGACTTCACGAGGCTCCAGGGCTGCTTCCGGTAGCGGATCTCAGAGGACACTCTGGGGGTGGAGGAATGAGGTCAGGGGTCAGGGTCTTACTCTAGCCTTGCTGCCCCATTTCTGGGGGTGTTTTCCCGCTCATTCAGAGAGGCCATGTACACCCATAGACAAATCAAACACCCTGCCCCCGCCCACTCATGGCTTCCCTCTGGTCCCCGCTCACCAGAAGTGCTGGCCAGGCAGGTCATAAACCCTTCTGTCCATACCCACTACCTTGGCAAGTCTCCCTCCTGTAAGTGCTGCCTCAGCATTGCCCACCCAAACTGAGGTTTAATACCCTCTTCAGCCCTGAACCCCTTCCATCTTGCTGCTGCATGCACCTCTATATGGGGGGTCTAAGTTAGCTTAACACGTCCCCACCGAGCACCTACTTCTCCCCATTTCCCCATCCTGGTCAATGGCAGCGCCATCCTTCTAGAAGCTCTGGATGTCCCTGGCCTCTTAGGACAGCAACCAACGTTCTGCTGCTGACTTTGGCTGGGAGAGTGGGGTGTAAGGCAGCTGCTCACCGGAGACGGGCCTTGTTCCGGGCAAGGCCCAGGATGCAGTAGCGGTGGGCAGTGTAAAAGTAGTCCTGGTAAGGGATGCCCTGCGTCAGCACCTCCGAGTCTACCACACACCCGCCCGCCTGCGGGCCGCGCCGGAACAGGGTCTGCAGGGACAAGGGAAGGAGTTAGGGCTGCCCCACCTGCAACCCAACCCAGCTGGCCACATGTCCGGCTCACCTGTGTCTCTACCACCGAGGCGCTTTTGGGACCCAACGGGTTGCTGATGGGAATGGTGTAGGTCAGCACTCGGCGTTGATGGCACTTGCTGTCCCCACTCCAGGGGCTCAAGGTCACGTCTGGGGTAGGGAAGAGCAGAATGAGGACACTACTCTCCAGCCCTTTGTCCATAGGCTGTAGGCTTGCCCCCAAACCTGCTTTTTCTCCCCGTCCCCAGCTTAGTGCCTACCCCACCTTCCTTGAGACATTTAAAACCTTGTATGTTGATGATGGCTGGAACCTTTCCTCTCCCTACACTTCTCACCTCTCCTGTGGCCATCTCATCCACTCCTGCAGCCTCAGCTTCCCTCTCTGTCCCAGTCCTGGCTTCTCCCCTGAGCTTCAGACCTAAGATCCTGTGACATCCTGAACACCTTCCCCTGAAAGTTCCCTGGACCCCTCTCTCCCCCTGGACCCCACATTGGCTTCAGCATCTCTTCAAGCCTGCCCGTCCTCTGGAGCCCTCTCTCAGGGGAGGTACAGCTGTGTTCCAGCTCTCCCCAGAGCCCTGGGCCTGGACACTCCCGCCCCATCTGACTCCTCAACTCCTCTGCTGGTCTCATGGTCAACCCTTGCACTTTACCTGCTGCTGTGGCTCCCCTCGCCACACCAGGCCACAGGGGCCCAGCCTCAAGGCGTGTCTCGCAGTGCCTGCCTCTAGCCTCAGGGCCTCTGCAGGCACACTGAGGGCCTCCTGGGTCCCTCTCCCCCGCCTCCTCCTCTTTCCCTGGAAAAGTTTCTCCTTCAGGCCTTAGTTTCAATTTCACATCCTTCCAGCAGCCTTTCCTGATACTTCTCAGATCTCAGCTACCCCTCTGACACTCACCCTTATCTCTGTGAGAATCCATTTCCTCTCATTCTTACTAGATTCTGGGTACATCTGTCCTGGTCTCTACACAGAATGGGCACTAAATGTGCCCATTTAGATCATATTTACAAAATCTGTACTATTGGTTACTGTTCTAGGCATTTTTTTAGTATTAACTTACTTAACTCTCCTGAGGCCCTAATAAGACAGGAACCATTATCATACCTCTATCATGCATAGGAGGAAACTGAGGCAAGTCAGGCTGGAACCCTGCTAGTAAGAGGCAGCCCACTCTGGTCTCATGGATGCTGTTTTTAACCCCCGCACCCTGCCACACCCAGGCCTGTCTCCCCGGGCTCGTCCTCCCCACCCCTCCCTGTGTCGGGGGCCTCAGCTCCTGACCTGTGAACTTGCACTGCTCCAGGAAGCCCTGCAGGAAGGGCGAGTCTGAGAAGAGCATCTGCTGGAGCCGCTCTGCACCCACGTGGAAGACGGAATTGATGAGGAGACGGCCAGAGAGGTCAGGAAGCAGGGCAGCCAGGTCTGCTGGGCCACACACAAGGGCAGCGAATGAGGCCCCCCCTGCTCCTCCTTCCTCAGAGTGGTTCCTAGAATTCCCTGTGGTGACCACTCCCCCCTCCTGGCCTTGTGGAGAGGGTGGGCAGGCCTATCCTCCTAGACCGCAGTGGACCCTGTGACACAGAACACTACTCGGCCCCCTCGGCCCCAGGCGTGGCTGTAGGGTGGCGTGTTCCCCAGGCCCAGACAGTCAGAGCCACCAGGATTGGTTCAAGGTGAAGCAATCACGTAGTCACAGCCAACTGCGTTTCCAGCATCACAGGCTCACTGGCCTGTGGCATTTGACCAGTGATGGCTCAGGGATGTGTGTGATCCCAGGCCACCAGTGACTGGTTCAGAGGGGTGTGTGCAACCAGAGCAAACAGCCACAGTGACTGCTTCAGAGGGAGTGTGTGACCCCAGGCAGCCACAGTGATTAGCTCAGGAGCTGGCTCGCTCTCCTCTCAGAGCCAACCCTAAGCTGTTAGCAGAGCCTCTGGGGAAGCATCTTTTCCTTCTGCCTGGCTTCTCTGGAGCAGGGCAGGGGCTCCCTCTGCTCCCACAAGAGGAGAAGCTGCCTGAAAATGAAGTTGGTACAGAGAAATGGAAATGATGATGATGATGAGAAAAATAGGTAATACTAACTGGCCCAAGAACTTTACTTGTATTACCTTATTTAATTCTTTTAATAACAATCCTATGAAGTGAATATTATTGGTACTTTTCAGATGGGGGAAATGAGGCTCACAAAGGTTAAATAATTTGCCCAGGTTACATAGCTAGGAACCACTGTGGCCAGAATTTGAACCCTACCAATCTGCTTTAGCGTCTGTGCTCCTATCCACCCTGCCCTACTGCCTTTAGAGCAGAGCTAAAGACACCAGGTGTCTAACAACACCATTTGAATGCCTTACCTGCCCACTCCCTGGATTTCTTAGTCCAGTGAGCTAGCAAATCCTTGTTTATACCAGTCTGAGTAAGGCTATCACATGCGACTGAAAGAAATGATTCAGACCACCTGCCTCACCTTCCTCTCCGGTAGATGAGGAGGAGTTACTCGTGTCTGTCAACAGCTCCTCACTGGGCAGCAGTTTCAAGGGGCCCAAGGAAGTGGGCCCATCAGGTGGGGTGGGCTCTCCGTTCAGGGGTTCAGCCACTGGAAACACTGGCTGGCTGGAAGAGGCGTCTGTCTGTTTGTCTGTCTGCTCCTCTTTGTCCTCCTCAGCCTGCAGAGAATGGCTTAATCCAGCCTTGTCCCACCTCCATCCCAGCCTGAGGGCCTCCTGTGTGCCCACATCGACCATTAGAATTGAAGACTGTAAGAAAACCAGGAATTGGTTTTCTTACAGAAAACCAATTCAGAGCTACAAGAGGCCCTAGGGCCACCGAGGTGAGGGCTGAGAGCCCCTTCCAGGCTTATCTTGGATGCCTGGGCCATAAGCTTCCTTATACCTGTCCTATCCTTGTCTGTATTCTTACACCTGTCTGTCCTGTCCATGCCTTGCCTATATCCTAACTCATCCATCCATTCTTCTCTTGCTTCTGCTGTCTCTCACTCTTTCCATCTGTCTGTCTCTCCTTTGCCTGACCCTAGTTTCCTTGCCCACTCCCAAGCCCCATCCTATCCTTCCATCTACCCCCTCTCTTATCCCTCCATCCACTTCCCCATCTCTCTGACCATGCCCTCCTTTTCCCCTAACCTGTCCCTCTCCCCAACACCACCTCTAGCCTTCGCCTGTCTCTTCCCCTCAGCACCCTCCTCTCTCTCTCACCCTCCTGCTCACCCCATGGTCTGCATCACTGCTGGCTCGGGAAAGGTTGGGGGTGATGTGGCCACGGCGCAAACCCACGGGGCTTGGCTCCTGGCTGTGGTCGGCTGCCCCGGAGGGGGTGATGTCACTTAGGGCAATCACATCTCCTACTTCCTTGGGGCTCCTGCAATGAAAGGGAAGGGGGTGAGGTCACCGTGTCCTTGAGTCCAGAAGCTCTGCACACAGCCCCTCCTGTCTCCCCCAAACCCGGAACCAGTTGTCAACCTTTGACTCACCCCAGACCATTCAGCTGCAAGGGGCAGACATAGTCCTCGTCCTCGCTGGTGAGGCCCAGCTCTGAGCCGTAGCACTGATGCACCAGGTGCCAGAGCTCGCGGGGACTCAGCGTCTGGGCAGGCAGGACGTAAGGGGGCTAGCCTCCACCTCACCAGGCCAGAGCCCTTCCCACCCATCCCACAGCCTCATCAGTCCCCCCAGTGCCCACATGGGGCAGCATGGTCTCCCAATAAATCTCAGCCCCTCGGCAGCCCCGGGGAGGAGTCAGCATGCCCAGGACTTTCCCCTCAGGTTTTCACAATACTCACACACTAAGGCCAATGGTCCCAGTTTACAGAGGAGAATACAAGGCCCGGGGGAGAAGTCATGCACACGAGGTCAGGAATTCAAACCCAGCCAGCCTCTGGAACCTCTGCCCAACCCCCCATGCTGTCTGCCCCCACCCATTTCTCCAGCGTCCTCAGGGGTCCGGCCAGAAGGGGTAAATGACAATGACAAACAGTACTAACAGTGATACTGATAGCAGCAAGGAGCAGACACTCACTGAGCTGTTACCCTATGCCAGGCATTCCAGTGCCTTCAGATGAGTTAACTTACTGAGTCTTTAAAACAATTCTGTGAAGTTGGTGCATTTATCATCGTTTTAAGACAATGCCACTGAAGCACAGAGGTGCCCAAGTGGCAGTGCTGAGATGTGAACCCAGGGCTGGTCTAGCATCCTGAGCTAACCACGTAACAACCCTGCCCCATAAGAGCTGACACTGCCAAGCACTTACTCTGCGCCCAGCTCTGGCTGCTGTGAAGGAGGGACAGCATCCCTTTCACCAATGGGGGGTTCAGTGACTTATCCAGGTCCCTCAGCTCCTCAGTGATGGGGCTGGAACTCCAACCCTGACAATCTGGAACCATCCTCTGCCCTCCCCTTCTTACAGACTTTGACATTGTGCTGTCCTGTTTGGGCCCCTGCCCCAGCTCTCTTGCCGCTAGTGGCTGGGCCTGCCCCCGAGAGGACCAGTGTGAGTGCGGAACTGCTGGAGGAGCGGGTCTGGGCCTTCGAGGGGCTACAGGCCAGCAGCAGCAGACCATGAGCCATGCCAACCTGACATCTAGCCACCCTCCCTCCCTGTCAGCAGAACTCTGATTTGTTTGGGGTGAAAATCTTCTCCAGCCAATTCATCTTTCCTTTGCCACAAACCCAACTTCCTTTGCAACCGAAGGCAGTCATGTGACCCAGTTCTAGCTAAACAAATAGAAAGAGAAATCTGCTAAAGGAGGCTTTTCCTCCCTATAAAGGAAATTCCACTTTCTATTCACCCCCTTTCTCCTTCATGTTTGGGACACTTATATGAGGGCATGATGCCCGCAGCTGTAGCAGCCACCTTGTAACCATGGGCAACAAGCATGTGAACAAAACATTAATATGCAAAGGATGAGAGTCTGGAAAAATGGACAGGAGATTGGGATCTTGACAACATAGGGAAGCCTTCAAACCCACCCTGGACCACCTGCCTCCAGACCTGTTGCTACATGAGCATCAGTGTGATGCAATGGATGAGTGGACTTCAGAACCTGAATGCCACATAGAAGCTCATGTGACCAGGGGCAAGTCTATCCCTCCATGCCCCACAGGTGAGGTAAATATAACCCATACTGCCTCGTAGGGTAGTTATGAAGGTTAAATGAGTTAATTCATGTAATGCTCAGATCAGTGCCTTGCACTTTAGTAGCACCAGAAGTGTTAGCTATTATTACCTTATGAAATAATTCAGTATCTGCTTCTTAAGCCATTGTTTGGTTGGCATTTCAGTCTCTTGCAGCCAAATGCATCCTAGGTAAACCTATGCAACTACAGCGGACATTCTAGGAGAGCCGGCTCAGCTAGCACTCAGTGGGTCATCAGATTGTAGTAAGTAAAAATCTAAAATCCCTAACCTTTGGGGAAAGATATGATTCAAAATTAAAATTTGGGATTTAAGAATGATAGTACATTGCCAATGATAATAACTACTATACTTAATATCCGTGAGGTGTATAGTAAGTCAGAGGTTCTCAAAGTGTGGCCCAAAGATTTCTGGGGGTCCCCTGGACCCTTTCAGGGGGTCCATGAGGTCAAAATTATTTCACAAGTATAATAAATATTACTAATAGTATAAGATGTTACTGATCTTTTCATTTTTATTTTCACATGAGTATACAAGGGACTTTTCCAGAGGCTGTAACAGGCCATCCTGTCATTTTTCTAGTGGCTAATGCAAGTGGAGCTTGTGTATTCTTGTGTTTAAAAATGTCCCAGTTTCACCCTAACTGGTTTGGCTCAGTGGCTAGTGTGTCAGCCTGTGAACTCAAGGGTCCCAGGGTCGATTCCAGTCAAAAGCATGTATCTTGGTTGCGGGCATATACCCAGTGGTTAGTGTGCAGGAGGCAGCTGGTCGATGTTTCTCTCTCATCGATGTTTCTAACTCTCTATCCCTCTCCCTTCCTCTCTGTAAAAAAATCAATAAAATATATATTTTTAAAATAAATAATAATAAAAATGTCCCAGTTTCAATTTCTAATATAGTAAATATCACTAGGTATTACACAAATGTTCTTGGAGTCTACAATTATTTTAACAAGTATAAAGGGTTCTGAAATTATAAAGTTTGAGAATCAATGGTATATTCTATATTGGATACTATAACTTTATGTTGATCACATCTAAGCTTTACTCCAGTCATGCACATTAATAACTTTTTGTCCTGAAACACATGAACAGTGAGATTTAGACCTATGCTAGGCAATAGGCATGCTTGACCATTTACGTTTAAATTAATTGAAATTAAAGTGCAGATCCTCACCAGCTGCTTTTCAAGAGTTCACAGACTCTTGGCCAGAGGCCACTCTATTGGACAGCACAGACAGAGACCACTTCCATCCTAGCAGGAAGTTCGATTATGCAGTGCTGACACACAAGATAATCAACATATTATTAGTCCAGATCAGATTGTGATGCCACATATATAAAATTGTTATGGTGAATAAGGGGTCATGGATACATATTTCTAGTGGGCAGGGTCTGGTGCTCGAGCCCATGGTGACCCCTCATGGTGCCTATGGAGGAAGCTGCCGATCCGTGGACCAGATACTCATAGAGAAGAACTGAGTGGTCCTGCAGTTTTGCACCCCTGGCTCTGTGGTCCCCTGGCCCACCCGTAAGCACCCCCACCCCCCACCCTGGCCTCATCCAGGCCCACCTTTTCAAGCAGTGCATTCTGCCAGAGGCGGAAAATGAGCAGGAAGCAGCGGTCCCGGGCCCCGAATGAGGTGAAGAAATGCTGCAGGAGAGAGATGGGGTGTGGGAAAGTCACCAAAGGATGGAGGGAAGCTCCATCCCCATCCAGCTCTGTTCCTGATCTCCATCCTGATGTACATCCACCCACCATTCCTTCCTTCATGCCACAGAATGTGTATCCTGTGCCCAACTCGGCAATGGACGCTGGAGTCACTATGATGAGGAGATGGACCCTGAGCCGGACCCCGCCCCCGCCCCCAGAGCTCAGTCCAGGGCAGGAGGCAGGCACATCTCCAGATGGGATCAGTCCAGAGTGACTGGGCTGTGAGGGGGAGGAGCCCGTGGTACTTTCCCAGCCTCCTTTGCCCAGTGGGGTGGTCAGGTGATTCTTTTTTGGCCAATAAAACACAAAGGGAATTCTGCTGTGAAGTGGGGTGCGTGCGTGCGTGTGTGTGTGTGTGTGTGTGTGTGTGTGTGTGTGTGTTTCCCAGCCACATTTCTTTTTCCTTTCCTGTCTGGGCCGTGGGTGTGAGGCAGCCATCTTGGGACCTTGAGGCAAGATTGTGAGGACAGAATGGAGTGTCAGGGAAGGCTTCCAAGGAGAGGGGGACATCTGAGTTGTAGATACGAGGGGGGAAGAATTTTACTGTTAATCCAGTCTCAGCAGCTGTGTGTGCGGGGGGGAAAGGAGAGACTGCAGGGACTAAGGAAGTACGAGCTGATGCAGAGATCCAGTTCAGAGATGATGGGAGCCTTAGCCAGGGCAGGGGCAGGAAGAATAAAGAGAAAGCCACAGACTGAGCACAGATCAGGGAGCAAAAAATACAGGGCTTTGGTGGTGGCAGAAGGGAGGAGCCGGCTAAGATCAGTGACCACAGGGCCTTACCAACAGGTCCTCTCACTCACCTTCTCGCTCTCTGTGCAGATCTGGATGGCATTGGGGATCAGCTTGGCTGTCTTTTCCTTCTTCAGACAAGTGACTTCCTTCAACTGGATGGAAATCTAGAGGGACAGGTGGGTCAGAAGGGGCCAGAGCCCTCCCTGCCCTGAGGCCACTTCCCATCCCTGCGTTGGCTTACTGTGGTCTCCCAGCGGAAGATGTTGCTGTAGAAACAGATCCAGTTCTCGGAAAGATAGAGGCGGCCCTGGAGGAGGATCTCACGCTGCAAGGCACAGGAGTAATCTGAGGCGGCCAGGGAGAGATGGGCGGACAGACACCCGAGTCACACGGCTGGCCTGGCTAGCACCCAGGCAGGGAGGGTCAGAAGGGCAGAGCTGGGAGCTCAGGGTCAGGTCCAAGACTAGGTGGGCATCAGACTCACCTACAATGAGGCGTTCAGCTTCAGGGAGTTTGCTAAACAGTTTCCGGAAGTCCTCATTCCGCTGTTTGTACGTGGGGCTCAGCATCTGGAGAAAGTTTGAGAGGTGTGAATCCAGACGGGGTTCATACCCTTAATTCTACCCCACTATGCTCCCAGAAGCCCCTCAGTCTCCTCTGTCCCAGACAGGCTCTTTGAGGCTTCAAGTCTAGCTCATTCTGACTTCCACTGCCAGTAACATGAGAGTAACCATGATGAGAGCCCCCATCTACTGATTTCTACATAAGCCAGGCTCTATGTCACATACCCACCACCAACACTGACCCATACTGGCCTTCAGATAGGGACTGTTTCACAAGGAGAGAGGCCCAGAGAGGTTAAGCAACTCATTCAAGATCACACAGCACATAAGTAGCAACAGAGATATGACCCGAGGTCTACTGACTCCAACACTCACTTCCTGCTTACTATCCCCACCCACCCTCCTTCCCTCCTTTCCTTCCTCCCTCCCTCCCCTCCAGTAAGTCCCTCTGCCCAACACTTACACTGTACCAGCTCTGCATCTTCTGCAAGAGAAAAGAGTGGAATCAGAATGAGCCCCTAAATTCCCCAACTCCCACCCCTCTCCCCTCCCGGCCTGGGCCTGCACCAACCTTGCTATTGCGAATGAAGTTCCGGCTGCCCAGGCTCTGGGTGCTGGGTGTCCCAGGCACCCCACCCTTCTCTGAGGAGCTGTCTGAGCCCTTCTCCACCATGGCGCCTGGTTCTGCCTCAGGCGGGGGTCGGCTGGGGGGCAAGAGCTGCAGCCGCTTTCGGAGAGACGGGGAGCTGCTTGGCGTGCTCCGGCCAGAGTGCGGGGTGGTGCTGGGGAAGGGAAAGAAGGGGTTATGGAGTACAACAAGCCGGGGCATGGAGACCTGCCCACCAGTCCATTGATCCTCATCATCTATTCTACTCCACTTCCCAGCGGCATGGCCCAGAGCAGCCTCCCTAACTCTCGGTACCTCGGTTACTTCATCGTGACCCAAGGGTGAGAAATACATATTCTCATCTAGTTGTCTGGAGGATTAAACGAATCAATACACGCACAGTGCTTCTAATACAGCCTGGCACACAGCTGCTATTTTTTAAGTAACTTATTAGTCATCCGTACAGTACTGACTGAGCAGCCACTTTCCGCTCAGTTGTTTGAGCTAAAAACCTGAGCATTTTCTTTCTTGCTCCCCCTCATTTCTAATCTGTTAGCAAGTCCAGCCTCCAAAATCTATTTCCATTACCCGTATTTTCCGACGTATAAGACGACGTTTGAAACGAAAAAAAGCCTGCTCAGATTGGCCAGAGTCAGAGAGGCTGTCTATTAAAAAAAGAACTGGTGTTGCCTCGGAAGTGGGGGGTAGTCTTATACAGCGAATATAGGCCTAAACCTATGTTTTAGCTGTAAAATTAGGGGGTCATCTTATACGCCGGAAAATATGGCATTTCTGTTATATACCCCTCTTCCCTGCCTCCAGCGCCTGCTCTGCCTCCAGCACACCAGTAGTCCCTATAATCTACTCCCCCCCAGCTAGAGGGGGCCTATGAGTCAGGTCAGGACAGGACCCTTCTGGTTGAGTTCTCACAGGCTGCAGCTCAATTCAGCTGAAAGCAGTCCTTACCATGGCACCCAAGGTCTAGTATTGTCCCTGTCAGCCCCCATTCCAGCCTCTGCACTTCTATTCCCTGTGCCTGAATGTCCTTCCATAGGCCCAGCATACACAGCTGTCTTATTCCACTTAATGCTCTTCCCCTGGTGGCCCCCTGAAGTGACCCAGCCCCACCCACACTATCTGAACTCCTCCTAGTCACTTATTCAGTTTGTCCATCGTCTCCTCCAGCACCCAAAACTGAACCTGGCATCTAGTGAACTCTCAGTACACACTGGTGACTACATGAATAATCCCAACATGCCTAGAGCTGGGAGCAGCAGATACCACTAGAGCTGGGAGGACTGGACTGCTGCTGGGAGACAGCCCAGAACAAGAAGAATGCTCACAGGACAGAATAAACACAACCGGCCAAGGGTGGTGGGGTCAGCTGGGGAACTGTAAAGGGACTCGTCAGGACCCAATATCATGGCCAGCTCTCCATATGATGAATGTACTCTTCCCACAGCATGCTGTGCATTTGATACGATTAATCACACACGTACCCTTTTCACAGAGGAAGAAACTGAGGCCCAAAGCAGCAAACCACTTGTCCATTTAATTCAGAGCAGGATTCCAACATGGGGGACTCCATCTCTCTGGGAAGGAGGCAGGAGTTCCTCAACCACCCAGGGCTCCTCAAACTTCTGTCTCCAAGGTTGAGCACATGCTCTTTTCCTGTTCAGACTCTCCTTTCTCTTCTTGGCCTAGCAAATTCTTATGCATCCTTCAGGACTCTTGCTCCACACCTCCTCCCTCCTGGACACTGCCCTCATCGCTTCTACCCCAGCTCTAACCACTCTGCCATGCTTCTCTCATCCTAGCCCTGACCACTCCATGTGTAATGACAACTCCGTTTCCCCTACAGATCTGTAAGCTCCCTGTTGTCTTGGTTACGGCTCTGTCCCTGGGATTGCTCAAGACAGGGACCAGGGTAGGCAGTCATGTCCCCTATACTTGTGAAATGGATTTGTGGAAATAAATAAATGAATAAAATAGATGGTGCCTAAGCTACCACCACTCCTCTTAAGCTTTCAAAGCCACCTTCTCCCTAGGTCTCCCTGGTCCACCCCTCTCCCCCCATATGCAGTGAGAGGGAGCCTATGAACCACAGGCAGGTCGGGCCCTCCTCATAAGCCCTCCCCTGCTGCACCTCGCTCCAGCTAGAAGCCCAGGGCTGGTTGCTCTCATCACCTCTCCTCTCGCTCACTCTTCCCAGCTCCTGCCTTCACTCGTCCCTCAGACGCCCTTTCTCCGAGTCTGCAGGAGGCGAGGCTCAATGGACATGTCTCCTTCAGCTCAATGGACATGTCTCCAAGACACCTTCCTTCCCTCTATTTAAAACCCACTTCCTACCTCCCAACCCCCCTTCCTTTCCGCCTCTTCGTCTCCCCCATCCTGCCGGAACTTGGATTCAACCAGGTACTTGGCTTGCCCAATCCTCTGAGGGCTGAGGCCAAACCTGATCTGTTTGGCCACTCCCCGGGGTGCCCTTGGATAAGTGTCTAAAGCTTTCTGAACGATTTTTGTGTGCCTGTTTCTTCTTGCATAAAATGGGAATATAACAGAATCGACCTCACAGGGCTGTCTGCAGGACAGACAGACAGACAGCCCACCACATGGAAGCACTCAGATTTGATCATTAAGGACTGTTAGCCTGAAATGGAGCACATGGCCACTGCCACTGCCCCACTCGTGTTGAAGATGCTATGCTGACTGCGACAGGTATGGCAAGCCCAACTGACCCCAAATTGTGGTCATTCACTAACTACACACTGACCACCTGCCACACACCAGGCACTGTACACAGTGAACAAACGAGATATAAACCCTGCCTGCACGACTGGACATTCAGTTTGGGGAACAATCAATCAGGACACATGTAAACGAGGGTGATAACCTCACTGACACTGGTCACACCAACAGCACCAGCAACACCTGGAAACTGAGAAATGCAGATTCTGGGACCCACTACGGACCTACTGAATCAGAGATGGGATGGGGCCCAGGAGGCTGGTGCATGTTCAAGTTGGAGGACCACAGTGATAAGAGGGCTAAGTGGGTGGGTGGGGTGCAGGGCACACTTAGGCTGAGCCCGCAGGATAAAGAGAGATCCAGCAAAGAGACGGAGAAGACTGTTTAGGGAGCAGGAACAGTGAGCTCAGCAGGTCTTACGAGTGAGGTGGCCAGTGGGGTGGGGAAGGAGGACAGGAAGGCATAGGCCCACCCAGGGGTGCTGTGGGCTCTGGGCAGGAGTTTGAATTTCAACCTATGGGCACTTGTGAGCTATGGCTGGCTCTGAAGGAAAGGTGACCATTCCTCCCTACCTCATCCTCTCCCCTCCGGTATGAATGCAAACCCCTCCTCAACCTGCCAATCTCTCACACAAACAGGTCAGGGAGGGCGCCTGAGGACAGGTCTAACACAGACAGGCAGAACAGGGCAGGGCCTGTGCTCCCAGACGTTGCTGTTGCTCCTCAGCAGGAGGAACAGGAAGTGCTCAAGGGCAGACACAGCCCTGAGGCTGCCCAACCAGCAGCCTGCAGCAGACAGAAGGGAGGAGCCCCAAGTGGCTGGAGTACCGTTATGGGGGCGGGGACTAAGAAGAAAATGGGTTTTTGCCACAGAAGACACCTAACCTCCAGCTTCCTGGGGCGAAACAGGCCCAGAGCTCCAGGCAAACTGCAGTTCTCCACAGCTGCAAGAAGTCTTCCCCACACCCCACCCAGCAATAGCACCACAGGTATGTTACAGTCACACACAGAGCCCGAGTCCCAGCATAATTACGCACAGCATTAAAGTATGCTACAGCCACAAAGTCCCAGAAGCTACACACACATACACATGTGCACACACACACACACACACGGCTGCAGAGTTACAGAAAACCATAAAAAGTCCCAGATAAATCACATTCACACATATAGCCATGAGAACATCTCAGAGAAGAGTTGAAAGCAAACAACATTCCCAGTGAAAGTCATGCAGTGAAAGAGCAGTCACAGAGGGCCCAGCTAGCACATGCACAGCCTGGGGAAATTAAGTCACAGGGTCAGCTCGGCTCCCAGGGTGCTCACCACGTGGTGGGAAGACAAAGCAAAGGCAAGGGATGGAGGTGTCGGCTGCTGTTGCTGACAGAGAACCCTGCCCCTCGCACAGAAGCCAAGGACCCAGAATAACAGGGCCCCCGGGGTGTGGCTCCATCTCAACAACACAGAGGCCAGGTTTGATACAATGCCTGGGACATGCTTTACAAACTGTAACAGGAACAACGGCAGTTATGATTATTGTTCCAAAGAGTCAAGGGTACCCGCAAGGTCTGAGGAGGGAGGGCCCCAGGCCCACTAAGTCACAAGGGGTCTTTCTCTTGCTCTTCACACACACAAAGCCCCAAAGGGTCCCAGCTGCACACATGGCAGGCCAGGCATACACATAAAGCAATCACAAACGGACACACACAGGAGCTATCCCACAAAGATGGAATCTGAGGTACATTATAGGCACAACCCCAGAGTCTCAGTCATACATATGTGGCCATGCTTGGACACCCAGATAACTAACTTTGCACAGAGTGAATACGGTCAGAGGTAAATTATAGGCACATTCAGAGCATATGGTTGGTCATAGGAGTGAGCACAGAGTCTCAGACACATATACATATGGTCACACATTACAGTAACACACAGTCAACTTATAGTGACACTTGAAAGATGGAATCAGATGTAAATTACACACACACACACAGCCAGGGAGGGTCACAGCTGTCTGCACCGAGGAACCTAGACACGGGTACACATACTCTCAAGTCCAATCTGACAGCGGAGGTTTGAGGGGATGAGACACATCATACAACCACCGAAGGCAGTAGCCACACAACCTGGGGCCCAGACACACTAAGAGTCACAATCAGACACACGCAGGAAACTTACAGTAACACACGGAATTCGGGGTAAATCACACACACACACACGGCCAAAGGGGATCACAGCGGCCTACACACTAGGACACTGACACCCATACACAAGCTTCCCAAACACCTACGATTATTCGGAAACACCGGCCCAGCCAGTGCGCAGGACGCCGCGGGGCCAGGCACGCGGTCGACCCGCTACCTGGAACTCCCTACCCGCCCCCCTCCCCCAACCCGGACGAGACCCGACAGGACGGTGGGAGGAGGCTCAGCCCCGCCTCCGGCCCCGTCCAAAGGCCTGGGCGAGCGTCGCCCCCCTCGCCACCCCGGCCGGAGCGAGCCGGGCCGGGCCCCCCCGCAGGCCGCGCTCCCGCGGAATCAGCCGGCCCCGCAGCCACGGCCCCGCCAACCCGGCTCATCGCTCCGGCAGCCGGCAGCCGGGCTGGAGCGCCCGCCGCCGGCGCTCAGTCCGTGCGCACCGAGGACCACGAGCCCCTCCCCACCCAGGCCGCCCCGGCCAGGGCTGCGGACCTGGGCTCCGGCCGCGCCCCCGCCCGGCCCCCGCCCGGCCCCCGCCCGCCGGTCCTTACTCGAACATGGATGCGGGGCGGGCGCGCCCAGCCGCGGGGCAGGGCCGGGCAGGGCGGGCGGCTGAGCGGGCTGGGCCGAGCTGGGCGTCCCGGCAGCACAGCCGCCGCGCCTTCCGAGGCCGCCGCCCGCCGCCCGCACAAAAGGGCTCCGCAGCCGCAGCCGCCGCCGCCGCCGCCGCCGCGTCACGCACCCCCCTCTCCCCCCCCCACCGGCCTCGCGTCAAGGCGCCGCCCCCCGCCCGCGGGCCGGAGGGCGGGGCTGGCCCTGGCGGGGCGGGGCCTGGAGATCAGGCCGCAGGGGGTGGGGCCTGGGGGGGGATCGGGCCGCGGGGGCGGGGCCTGGGGATCAGGCCGCGGGGGCAGGGAGGGGGGCCGGGAGCGGAGGAGGAGGCGGAGAGCTGGGGGGCGGGAGACTCTGGGGGTTCGGTTCCGGCCGCGGAGGGGCGGCGGGCCGCCTGGGGCCGCAGGGCGAAGCAGAAACCGAGGGATTTGGGAGCGGGGATGGGGCACAGCAGGGGAGGAGGAGTGAGGCCGAGCAATGGCGGGGCGGCTGGGACGCCGGAGGTCCGAAGCCGGAGAGGAAGGAGACGGAGAGCAAGAACCTCCGGGGAGCAGGGACCGCGGCGGCTGACGTGGTTGGAACGGACGCCGCCATGGCAGCTGCCTGGGCACAGGCTGTGCTCCCTCCGTCCGGAAAGGGGTCCTCAGCCCCCCGGGCGCCCCGGGCCGGCCCCCCTCACTCCCCCGGGAGGAACCTGAGAGGAGGGCGGAGCTGCGGGTGGAGGGAGGAGGTGGGGAGCCGCGGAGTTGGGGCGGCGGGCCCTGGGGCTGCGGGAAGGTCGCCCTCCGGAAACCGCGGCGCCGGGCGTGGGGACCCTGTCCGTCCCGGCGGCTCAGCCGAGGTCAGACCCCAGCCTCCCCGGCGGGCCTGAGCCGTGACCTTAAGTGGCCGGCCCAGTCCCGGGGACCCCCTGCTCTGTGGGGAGAGCAGCAGCGCCTTTCACAGATGGGGGAGCCCGGCCTCAGAGGCGGAGTGGCGGCCAGGACGCCAGCCCGCGGCCGCGGTGGGCCCAGCCCCGCGCTGCGCCATGGCCCGCGCCTCCGCGGCCCTGCACTCCTGGGCGGACGAAATGGGGGTCCCCCCACAGCTCTGGCCAGAGACACCCCGCGGAGTCCTCCTCCCCACCCCTCTACAGCACAGGCTGTCCTTCCTCTTGAAACACTCCATTCCCATCCCTCTCCCAGCCTCCAACAGCCCAACTCCACATCTCCATTTTGGTGGATGGCGGCCTCCAAACTGCAGTCTTTCCTGACTCCTCTTTTTTTCACTCGCTCTCCAATCTCTCAGCAAACTGCGGGCTCCACCTACACAATCTACCCAGAATCTAAACTCCTCCCCTCCACCTCCCACTCTGGCCCAGCCTTCACGCCCTCCCTCAGGGAGATTGCAGCCTCTGCTCCTGTTCCACCCCACAGGCAGTCTGTGAACCCTGCCAGTCTCTGAGCTCTCCTGGGGCTCCATCTCATTCCAGCTAAAGGCAAAGCCCTCACCTGGATGCCCAAGACACCACTGTGACGTTACCTGTCTCCCCTGCTCACTCCGTGTAGCCCCAGCCTCCCTGCTGTTCCTCTAACTCAGCAGACAGGTTCGTGCACTCCCTCCCCCAAGCCTTTGCACTTGCAGTTTCCTGTGCTTGGAAGCTCTTCCGCCCAGTTCTCCCCTCTCACCCTCAGATCTCAGAGAGACACCCCCGCCCCCCATCGTCTCCCTCTGTCTCATTTCTCTCTTAGCCTGTTCCTTGTTTTGAAATACTTT